TCCTGCCATGAGGGGCCAGCCAGCCAGCCTCATGACCCGAGCTGTACCGAGTAACCCTGGCATGTAAGCCCTATGTTATTCTAGTCTCTCTAGAGCTGTAGATGAACAGAAATAACTTGGAGCCCATAAAAATTCCTCCTCTGCTGTGCAGCGCTGTGATGCTGCTGCGTCCACCGGGCTGGGGGAGCAGAGGGACGGCAGGGGCAGATTCGTACACTCCTGGACAGGGGGGGTGGCCAGGGTGGGGGCGGGGACGGGAGTCCACCAGGTATCCAAAAAGAGCAGCTCTCTAATTGATGCTGCTGAAATAGAAGCTGAGATTTGAGGCGTCATTTTGGCTGCTGGCTTTCCATTGTGGTTTGGAAAAGATAGCGATGGTTTTGTGGTTCTTCTCTGCTCGGGCCAAAGGCAGCGTCATCGTACGATTAAAACGTGCCCATGGCGTGACCTGCCCTTCCGTTGCCTGGGTGTAGGACGGGAGCCTAGCCCAGTCTGCTGGAGGGGCCTTTCTTCCTCCTCTGCCGGGCTGATTATGGCCTCAACGCTAGGGATTCCAGCCCCAGCCCACTTCAAGGAGGCTAATTACACCCCAGAGGGGAGGAGGCCCAGCTGACTGCCCCAGAATTGGCCGTGGCTCTCGTTCCTCCCCTGTGAGCGCCGAGCTCTCACGTGATGTATGCTGCCACGTGAAGGGGATGGGGAACGGCTGAGTCCCCAGGCTTGGGAACAAGTAGGGCATTTGTCATGGGAGCAAAAGGGTTTTGTCTCTGCTGGAAGGCGGCTGGCATTACCCTGCACCTGCAGCACTGTTAAGACAGGGACTGAGCGTGTAGCCCCACTGCTGTCCCTCTGCACTGCCCAGCCCGAAACCTCAACCTGCCTCTGCCGATACTGGAAGCACAAGCTCAGCAGCAGTGGTGTCAGGGCAGCAGCCTCGCCTGTCACCACCAGTCGCCAGGGTGCAAAAAGCATCGAGAGCTCTGTAAAAAGCTGAGATCTGACTTTGGGCTTTCCCGCAGCTCAGTCTTGCCTGGAAATTTCTCCAGAGAGAACACGAGAGCCTGCGACACGTGTGCTGTCATTGCTGCTGTCAGCTCTGGCTGTGATCTGGCCTGGAGAGGATGCTGGCACGGGCGAGCAGCGTTCCACCTTTGGGGCTGCAGTTCTGCACTGCTCTGCGGTTTCCTCCCATGTGGCCAACGCTGGTTTTGACTGGCTTGGCCTTCTGCCCTCATCACTGGGAGGCTGCTGCTGCGCCCTTCTCTAAATCCCACTGCAAACACCGGGCTAACGGGGAGAAGCTAGACATGCTGGAGAGGAGAAGGAGGAGGGTGCAGGGCTCGAGAGGCTGCATTTCCTCCAGCTTGGGCTCTGCGTGCTGGGCATTGCCTCCTGCTTCTGCCACAACTGAGGCCTTGTGGCGCCTTCCTGGGGTAGCAGGACAGGGAATGCAGTGCCCATCTCTTGGGTGTCTGTCTGGCCTGCGTGGGGCAGGGCACTGCTTCCTGTAGCTTCATCGAGGTGGTGACTTCCAGCTTATTCTTGTTCCTTGCCCTCTGTGTTTCAGCTGCTGTGGAAGAGCCGCCTTCCCAGTGAGTTTGAGTTGAGAGGGGCCGCATCCAGCCTCGTCATGCAGACGGTCCTCAGCTGTGCTCTGAAGGCGGTGATTTGGACGCGAGGACCTCCTAACGATGGTTCCCAAGGAACCAGAGCTGGTCTCACTTATCAAATCAACCCCCGGTGCCTGATTGCTGCTGCTGCTGCTGCTGCTGCTGCTGCCCTGGACTTGCTGCAAGGCGGACGCGCCCAGAGCTCCGGTGCTGCGTCCAGGGGAGTCACGCTGACGCTCTGCCCCTCCCCACAGGGAGTGCCTGTGTAAAAGGGTGAGGAGCACACGGAGGTTGTTTTTCCCCGTGGAAACTGTCTCTGGTTACAAAGCCCAGGCTGACAGCTTGGTGTCTGAGAGAGCTGTCAGCCTTTGCGCAGCAGTGTCTGGAGTTAGGGCCCCAGGCGCTGCGCTGGGTGACTAAGTGCAAACCTTTTTTCTAATTAGAGAAGTCTGTCCTTTCCCATCCCCCCCTCTTAAAAGGTTTCACGTTTGTCGAGCTGTTCATCGGGCTTTCGAGGGTCCTGGCCCGCACGGCTGGCCGAACGCAGCGCGAGCAGCCACTCTGCGAGACATGGCTCCACCGCCCCCGGGCCTCCACAAAATGCCCCAGCCCCAGGAGCTCACCCGAGCATCTTCCAGCCGACATTTGTCCTCAGGGCCCTAAATCCTGCTGCTGACCAGCTCACTGGCTCCCAGCTGAGCTAGCGGAAGGCAGCAAAACACAGTGAGCGATTGTCAGGAATTGAAGTTTTTTAACCCAGATCTCTCCAGGGAGATGATGAGTTTTCACTGGGGTTCCTTTCTGCAGGCAGAAGGGGGCATATCAACATGTCACAGACGGGAGTTACGTTTTTTATCTCCAGAAGGGTCGTTTCCTTTCCTTTTTTTTTTCCTCCTCTTTTTTTAACTTACATCTGCCCTGGGCCATTTTTTGATGAGCTTCTGTCTCTGATCTGTCTGACATTGCAAATGCTCTTGCCTTTCACATCCATCTTTGTGCTGTTGCCAATCTGTTGTGTATAAAGTCAGTGCTTTCATAAGCTGGCTGAGATGAAATCTCTCTAATTATTTTTGTGATTCTTTCCTGTTTTCAATGAGGGAAACCTCGCCGGGCTCTGGTAGAAGCCGACTGATCCCTCTGTCACGTGACAGGTAATGAATTTCTGCAGGACTCCTGCTCTTTCCTCGTTCGACTCCCAGGCTCCGGCTGGCGAAGGGAGCAGGTCCTGTCCAGCCAGGAGAGGCGTGTGCAGCCCTGACTGCAGACACAGCCTCCTTCTTTGGCTCCTGGCAGGGTGGCTGAATGGGTTTTTCCCTACCGTTTTTGTTTCTTGTGGAGCTGCCTTTTCAGGCGGTTACACCCTGTTATCCCAGGAAGCTGACTTGAATTCAAAGGCTCTGCCAGACCCGTGGCACTCGCCTTGTGCTGTGGGTTATAGCGACGGCTCTGGCAGCCTGGTGTCGGCAGAGGGGAAGGTGTTCTCCTCTCCCAGACCAACCTAGGCACCCGAATAATGGCAAGGCTCTGTTAAATTGCCTCGAAGCCCCTCGGGGCTGCTGCCTCTCCTCCCTGCGCTGAGCTCCAGCTCCTAGAGCAACAGATTTCTCTTGGCTGTGTTATGCTCAAGTCTCGGAGCTCCCCTCGCCCCACACCGCAGGCAAAAACATCTAATAAAGAGGGGTCGTGTCTCTGCTACAGCCTCGCCAGGGCTGAGGGCTGGCTGGGACGGCAGGCGGGACAGAGGTCTCTGCCACTCTTTGTTTTT